ATAAAATCTTAAAAAAAAAAAAAAAGATTTCAGTCTTTTTAAATTTGTTGAGACTTGTTTTGTTGCCAGCATATGATCTATTCTGGAGAATGTTCCATGTGTACTTGAAAAGAATGTGTATTCTTCTGTTTTGGATGGAATGCTCTGAATATATTTGTTAGATCCATCTGTTCAATGTGTCATTCGAAGCCAGCGTTTCCTTGTTGATTTTCTGTTTGGATGATCTATCCACTGATATAGGTGGGGTGTTAAATTCCCCTACTATTATTGTATTATTACCAGTTTCCTTATGTTTGTTAACAGCTGCTTTATATATTTAGGTGCTCCCATGTTGAGTGCATAAATATTTACAATTGTTATATCTTCTTGTTGGCTTGTTCTCTTATGATTATGTAGTGTCCTTCTTTGCCTCTTGGTACAGTCTTTGTTTTATTTTTTTTTCATTTTTATTTTTTTCAACTTAATTTTATTATGTTAGTCACCATACAGTACATCATTAGTTTTTTATTTTAAAGTCCATTTTGTCCAATATAAGTATTTCTACCTCAGCTTTCTTTTCCACTTGCATGATATATATTTTTCATCCCTTCACTTTCAATGTGCATGTGTCTTTAGGTCTGAAACGAGGCCCTTGTAGGCAGCATATAGATGGGTCTAGTTTTTTTTTTTTTTTTTTAATTGATGAAGTCACCCTGTGTCTTTTGATTGGGACATTTAATCCATTTACATTCAAAATAATTGTTGTGAATTATATATTTATTGCCATTTTGTTACTTGTTTTATGGCTTTTTTTCTTTTTCTCTACCCCTTGTCTTGCTCTCTTCTCTTGTGGTTTGATGGCTTTCTTTAGTCTACCCCCTTCTCTTGCTGTGTTCTTTTGTGGTTTGATGGCTTTCTTTAGTGGTATGCTTGGTTTCCTTTTTATTTTTTGCATATCTGTTACAGGTTTTTGATTTGTGGTTATCAGTAGGTTTATAGATGATATCTTGTGCATATAGCAGTCTATATTAGGATGATGGTCACTTATGTTTGAACCCATTCTAAAAGCCCTAAATTTTTACTCTCCCCCCGCACCATGTTTTATGTATATGGTGTCATACCTTACATCCTTTTATTTTGTGAATCCAATGACTGATTTTTATAGATATACTTGATTGTACTGCTTTTGTGCTTTAACCTCCATACTGTTTTTTTTTTTAAGATATTTTTTATTTATTTGACACAGAGATAGAGAGCACAAGTAGGCAGAGCAGCAGGCAGAGGGAGAGGGAGAAGCAGGCTGTCTGCTGAGCAGGGAGCCCAATGCGGGGCTCGATCCCAGGACCCTGGGATCATGACCTGAGCCGAAGACAGCTGCTTAACCGACCAAGCCACCCAGGCGCCCCCTCCATACTGGTTTTATAAGTGATTAATCTACTACCTTTTGTGTTATGCATACCTGTGAATTTTTTTTCCTTTCCTACTTTTCTTACTCCTGCTTATGGAATTCCTTTCTACTTAAAGAATCCCCTTTCACATTTCTTATAAGGCTGGTTTAGTGGTGATGAATTCCTTTAACTTTGGGAACCTTTTCATCTCTACTTCTATTCTGAATGATAGCCTTATTGGACGGAGTGTTCTTGGTTGTAGGTTTTTCCCTTTTAGCACTTTGACTGTCACACCACTCCCTTTTGGCTTGCAAAGTTCTGCTGAAAGATCAGCTGATAGCCTTATGGGTTTTCCCTTGTATGTAACTGTTTTCTTTGCTCTTTTTTTTTTTTTTT